ATAAGGCACATGTGCTCACCAGAGAGAGACAGACACAAAGGGAGGGAGGGAGAAAGAGAGAGAGTAAGAAAGCAAGCTGCCAAGTCTGGGACTTGAACTGTGGTCAGCCACATGGAAGTCCAACACCTCAACCACTACACTACCTGCTTGGCCCAAAATGTATATTATTTTTTTATTGTTTTGATTTTTAAGTATTTTACTTATTTTTAATTTAAAAACTTGTTTTAGGGACCAGCAAATGGTGCAATGGTTACGCCACTAGACTCACATGTAGTCGACTGCAGTTCAAGTCCCAGACCTGGCGGCTTACAACTCATGCAGGACACGAGTGCATACATGCCCAAAATCCCAAGAGGAGAATGGAGAAGGGATTGTAGTGTGGCTATCCTCTCTGGCGGGTGATTTCTCGCTTTCTGTCTCCCTGTCTGTCTCTGTCTCTCCAGGAAGCACATGTGCCCTATACCAAAAATGAGTTTAAATTTAGGTTGTATTCTCTTACTTCTTCTTGGACACTAGGGGGCACTATTGTCATTGTCTATTTTAAAGAGGTCCTCCCAAGGTCACCATGACCTCAAAGATTAGCCTTTTCTTTTTAATTATTTATTAATTTTATTCATTCATTCATTCATTTTAATTTTATCAGAGAGAGAGAGAGAGGGAGAGAGTGAAAAAGTGAGAAAACCAGCAGATCTGGGATTCAACCTTAATGGGCCATGTGGGAGAGTCCAGTGCCTTAATCACCATGCCACCTGCTGGTCTCCAGATTAGCCTCTCTCTCTCTCATTCTTTTTTTAGAATTATTTTATTTAACTTCATTTATTTGTTTACTTTAATTTGGCAGGGCCGGGGAGAGAGAGAAAGTGAGAAAGCAGGCTACAAGGTCCAGGACTCGAACCAGAGTGGGCTATGTGGGAGTCCAGCGCCCTTAACCACCATGCCACCTGCTGGCCCCTCCAGCTTAGCCTCTTTTTAAAATCATGTTAGAGGGCATGTGCTCTTGACCCAGTGGGAAGGGAGGGTGAGAAAGTTCCCAAGTACACCCTCCCCCCAGCTCCCAATGTGGAATGATTCCTTCTCCTCCGTTTCTCTCACCTTTTGGGATTTGGGGCACACATACACACATGCCCAGTGTGGTTTTCATGCTCCCAGGTCAGGGACTTAAACTGTGCAGTTGGCTACAAGATCCACCCACCTTAACCACTAGGTCATAGGCTGGCCCAGGCTTCTCTCTCTCTTTTATTATCATTATTTATTTTTTAGTGTTTTTTTGTTTTGTTTTGTTTTCCATAATGCATGTCTGCTTACCAGAGAGATACACATAGGGAAAGTGAGAACTCACTCCCCCAGGGGTTATGTTCACACCATAATTCCTTCTCCATTCTCTTCTCAAGATTTTAGGCATGCACACACGTACACCCAGCATGAATTTTTTAAAGAGTTATTTTATTTAACTTTATTTATTTATTTATTTATTTATTTATTTATTTATTTAACTAGAGAGGAACAGAGCAAGAGAGCCAGATCGAGAGAGAGAAAGTGAGAAAGCAAGTTGCCAGGTCCAGGACTCAAACTGCGGTTGGCCATATGGGAGTCCAGTGCCCTTTACCACTATGCCACCTGCTAGTCTCCCCAGCGTGACTTTCAAGTCACCGAGTCCAGATCACAAACATGTGGGAGTCCAGTGCCTTAAACACCATGCAAGCTGTTAGCATCTTTTCTCTCTTTTCAAAAATTACTATAATATGGGACCAGCAGTTGGCATAATGGCTATGTTGGTGGACTCCCATGTAGTCGACCGTGGTTCGAGTCCTGGATCTGGTGATTTAAACTCACACCGGGTGCATGTGCGTGTGTGCCCAAGATCCCAAGAAGAGAAAGGAGGAGAAGGGATTGCAGCGTGACTATCCCCCTGGGGGGTGATTTCTCGATTTCTGTCTATCTCTTTCTGTCTTTCTGGTGAGTGCATGCACCCTATAGCAAAAACCTCTTCAAAAATAATTACTGTAATAATTATTTTAAAAATAAATTTATATATATAAATAATAATAATAATTTATATATTAAAAAAGAAAAGAAAACTTTGTTTCCATGAAGGAGAGAGAAACAGACAGACACCTCAACAGGGTTCCTCATGCTGTAATCCGTTTTGTACCTAGAACTCACTGCTTCATTCATCCCAACTCTTCTCCTTTAAACTTTTCTCCACCTCTCCAGATCATGAGATTTTAAGCCATCTCTTGGGAGATCCCATTTAGCCCTGTTGACCCTAGGCTTTCCTATTGACCTTAGCAATAGATGTTAGGACTGGACCTTTTATTATTATTATTATTTATTCATTCATTTTATTTTAATTTGACCAGAGAGACACACTTAGAGAGAGAGAGGGAAAGTGAGAAAGCAAGCCTCCAGGTCCGGGACTTGAACTGTGGTCAGCTGTGTGGGAGTGTCCAGTACCTTAACCACCATGCCACCTGCTGGACCCCAAGACTGGACAATTTTAAAACAAGTCTGTCAAATCCTCATGTCTCTAGGCTCCAGAACTGTGTGTCAAGGGGCTTAGAGTACTGCTGTTGCCTCCAATCACTAAAGCTCCAAAATAGGTTACCCTTATAGCCACTTGATAATTGTCTCTTTGGTAGGTTTGCCATGAGAATGCCTCCGGTCTATTGGGGCACTGGAGTTCAGTTTTCTGGCCTACTGGCTAGTCTGTGGATAATTAACTAGAGGGAATGAACCAGACGAAAATTCTCTGTGAGATGCTAAATCGGGAGCAAATATTGATCAACGAAGCTTTGAAGTCACCAGGAGGCAGCTGAGGTCAGTGCTTCTATGGGACATTCCATGGTTTCTCTTTGAAGTTCTTTCCTAAGATGTACCTAACTGACCCCTAAGCTGAGGAGCATTAGTTAGTAGGTATGAAGCCAGGTCTGAGAAAACTTGGGGAGAGAAAAAAGTTTTCTTTCTCTTTCTAAGTATAAATTTTAAACTAAGTTTTGTTTTGGTTTTTAATTTGCTACAGGGTGCATGTACTCCCCAGGGAGGGACAGACAGAAAAAGAGGGAAAGTGAGAAAGCACACCCAGTGTGTGTGTGTGTGTGTGTGTGTGTATGTGTGTGTGTGTGTGTGTGTGTGTGTGTGTATGGGGGGGGCATGCCACATTCCTCTCTCCTCTATTCTCTTGGGATCTTGGACATACACATGAACATGTACCCGGCATGTTTTTCAAGCTACTGGGTCTGGGACTTAAATAGCATAGTTAGTTGGCCATGTGGGATCCAACAACTTTAACCACCAAAAGTGGTTAGATGGGTACTCAGACTTCTGAACTTTATCTTTATTGCTTTGTGAGGAGATAAAATGACTGTTCTCTTGGAGCTTAAAGTTTGTAGATAAGGTGGCCTGGTCCTTGGGTCAGATCCCCTCTCACCTTGGGTTAGTGTTAATGCTAGGCTGAAGGAGTTACAAAGGTCCTAAGGCCTTGTCTACTCAGAGGAGTTAGAGTAGTGTGAAAGATCATTTTAATGCCATATATCATTTAATGGTCTGGGGAACACAAGATAAGTGAATATAGAAAATAGTCAAGTAGGAGAAGTGGCCCAGAGGTACTTTGGGAGTGATTCTAAGTGATGTGGCAAAAGAGAGAGTTCAGGCCATCAGAGGCATGGTGGTTAAGGTGCTAGATCCCCACATAGCAGACTGTGGTTCAAGTTCTCGACCCGGGGCTTCCAAACCAGGTATGCATGTGTATACATGTCCAAAATCTCAGGAGGAGAATGGAGGAAAAAGGATAATGGTGTGGCTGCTCCCCCTGGGGGGTGATTTCTCACTGTCCCGCTCTCTGGGGAGCACATGTACATGTTACAAACCTCAGATACACCCAAGAAAATCTATTTAAAAAGAAAAAAAGAGGGAAGGTGCCTAAAGCCTGATCTTGACTGAAGGCTTGGCATGCAGCTCCTAATATCGTGGCTAAATGTGGGATGGGCTGGCAGTTTCAGGTTATAGGACTTGAAGTGTCAGTAAGACAACGGCCAGGGCTCAGAGGCTCTGGCTTGTGCTAATGGCCTTCATATTAAGGCTGCACTTTATTTAATTTTGCTGTAGGGCACATGTGCCAGTCAGAGACAGAAAGTGAGTTATCACACACACACACCCCACCCCCCGCCTCCAGGAGGGACGCAATCCCTTCTTCCATTCTCCTCTTGGGATTTTGGGCATGTAGGCACAGGTGCCCCGCCTGTCTTTCAAGACACCAGGTTCAGGACTCGAACCAGGCAGTCAGCCATAATTCAACACTTTAACCACCACACCATCTGCAGGTCCTAAGGAAGCGTTTTTAAGACTGGGTATTTCCTGTCATAAACACAGAACTGAGGGCTCACAAAAAGCACTGCATATTCAGGCGCCTGTTTTTGCTCTTCTCCACATACTGGAATCTGTTAATATAATAATACCAATGAAATCATCTCCAACAAGCAACTAATTGCATTACAGCCCCTTGTGGCTAGGAAGTCATGTACCGAAGACATTCTTCAAGAAAGTAAAGGGGGTTGAAGGGGTGGGCAACGATGAGTTGCCATGACAGTATATTAGGGGTTGGTTTCCGAGGCTGTCCAAAGGTCGAGTCCTGGAGCTTTTTCTTCAATGCTCACTTCAGAACTAGCCCCAAATGTGTTAAGGGCAAAGGGAAAAGCCTAAGGAGGAAGTTAACAGAGTTCTCAGGCACGTACTTAGCCACCTGCACTCACCACCCCGCCCCCAACCCTCTCAATTAGCCTAATCCGGACGGTCCAATCCTCCCCGCCATAACAGCTGTCAACGGCTAAGGTCCCGCCCCCCCTCCAAGGCGGACCAATGGCCGAGCCCAAGGCGAGTCCCCTGGGAGGGGCGGGATGAGGCTCCGTGCAGTGGGCGGGTCCTGGATGAGGACCCCGGGCTCGGCGCCGCCGCCGGTTCGTCTACCCCTTCCCT